TGTTAAAATACTTGGTAAAGAAACTTTTGTAATGTTTTCACACACTCAAAAGTTTTATATAGATGCATATAGCTACATGGTAAATTATACATCATTATTGCGTTTCGTCTTGTGGTGTTAAAACATAATGATAATAATGACTTAGAAATATTGAAATGTGACATACACGTGCAGTGGACGATGCAGAGTAAACATGAGGTGGTCATGCATATGGCGATGAAGACATGGTCAAATGATCACGTTTCATCCGGTCATCAACGGACACTTAGGGGCATACGTCTAGATGTCCGGCTACAACCTGAGCGAAATAAAAATAAGCCTCTCTCACTGCGCACGTCACTCACGTATCAGTGGGCAATCGAGAATAACGCTACGCTCTACAAACAATGGACGCTTCCAGAGTGTTGAACAACAACTGACCAATCAGAACAAAGGCTAGAGTTCGCGCGTGTCTAAGAAGCACACGTGTTGTCAGGATGTTTACATTTGCAAAGCATAGAATGATGAAAGCCCGCCAAAATTAATCATTACATCAGCATGTGGTAGAGTCGCTATAATTTGCACTGCTATTCAATATAATTCTAAAGTGATGAAGAATATAAATGGCAGGCACAACCTCCACCATTAAGAAAATATATAATTTTTTTCCCCGTCGGCGAGATGAAGTAGTGTCCGGCAAGCCGTGGGCAATGTCTTTGTATCGCAAAACAGGATATTGAAAAGAAGAAAATCGTTACACAATCTAATTATTGAATTCAGCTTTTCTTATACGATTAACAAAGAAAGAAAAGTTGATAAATGATGACCTACTTTTAGCCATATGTTTCCATGCACAAAATAAAACATTAGACATAACCTTTAAGAAAAAGGCGGGAAATATCTCTCAACAATTACGGCCTCGCCGATTGTCTGTCAATATATCTTAACTTGAAACCATCTAATAATTGCTAAGTTGAGTCTCATCATCGCTTTAAAATTCATGTTATTACCAAAACCTTCGGGTACGGTTGATTGCCATTGTGATATCGCTACAAAAACCAAAGGAAAAACCAAAGCTAATTATTTTTTCAAAATAACATCATTTTAATCATATTGAAATTAAGTATTATACAACGTAGGCCTACTGATTTAAGATTGATGCCACGAACCAGACGTCTTGTCGCATTTACGCGGTAGGTTATCTGAGGGAGTGCGTTCGAATACCACCCGAAAAAACAAAATCCACAATTTTGAGACAGTCGAGAAATTTGGATATTTTCTCTAATAAAGATTGAGGGGAACATTAAATCTTTACAATCTAACCAGCAAATGCATTGTTAGCCCAGTATATTTGGGCATTAAATTTCCCGCCGTATTGGAATATAGAAGCTGTGATCCAACGGCTCAGCTGGCCCTAACCCCATTTGGTCCATGTTTGCACTCCCTCGCACCCCAACCCCAATAACAATCATAGATACGGCCAGGGCATTAAACTGAATCAGGCAAAAATCTATTCGAGGTGCCAATCGAACATCTGACGAATCAGAACGTGTTATTTGATAATCAGGTTTACGCACATCTCCCAAAATATGTACGTTTACGCTGTTTAAGATCCCACACATTGGCAACAAAAAGGGCGGGGCTTATAGGGAAGATAATAGCGTGACGCATTTCTCCTGGGTGGACAGACATTATAGGCCCTACCTGTGTGTAAACGATTCCAATAGGGAGATTTCGCAGTTAGGAAAACGATAAAAAATACGTCATTATTATTACGTCATTCGTCCCTAAAACGGACCTGCAGTACGAGCTGATAATGATACTTTATTCACGTAAAGGGCATGAATGGCCTACGTTGTGACAAATATGCTAATATAGAGGAAGGGTTGTCTAAAAAGTTTATGACTTAACCGCATTCGTTACCGTTTTGAATCGTAAGCTTGCGAAAACTACCTATTGGCGTGATACATGTGACATTTTGTCACCAGGCTACGCGTTAAAAACGTCCACGAGTCATAAGAATAGCCAATTAAATTTTTCTGTTTTCATATTTTATTTCACTTCATAATTTTCATATTTTTTCGAGAAAATGTTGTAAAAAACTTTATTTAAAAATAGTTTAGGCCTATATAGCAATGATTTACGATTTCTGAACTTTTGGATAGTAAATGTACTGGTAATACTATTTAAATTAAAAAGAAGTATTTTTTTTTCAAACTAAGATTTAGGCCTACTATCAGTGATGCATAAAAATAAACAATATACATGAAATAATTAGAAATAAACTTTTATTTTAGTCATGAAAGATTATCCAATCGAATACAAATTACTACGGACTACAAGTAAGTATGAAAAATTTAGACATGATTAAGTAGTTTTTGGTGAAGAAAGTCTGGCAATTTTCGTAATATTGAAATAGTACTGTTCGCTTATTTTGGAATTATTTTAATTAATTGCACATTTAAGATAAATCCTTGATACTTATGTGGGCAGCTACCTCTGCTGAAAAAAAAATCGATTCATGTCAAGGTCTTATTTTGCAATTATTCATTACACATCAAACATTATTGAACATCATATAATCAATAATAAAAATAATAATAATATTATACTGATACAAATAATTAAATATTATTACAGGCCAAATAATAATAATAATAATAATAATAATATGTGATACAAAATAAATAAATAAATAAAACAACGCAGGTGATACTGAAACACCACCACACAGTACACAGGTAAAATGACATGTCTATTAAGATAGTAATCATGTTAGGGATGACGTTGACGACGACGATGATGATGATGATAATAATAATGAAAGATACGTTGTGAAAGATGTTCTTTTTACAAAAACCAAGTTGTTTGTTTAAGTTGACGATGGTTATTATGATGATAGTGATGATGATGACGATGACAATGTTGACGATGATGATAACAATAATGAAAGATACGTTGTGAAAGATGTTCTTTTTACTAAAACCAAGTTAGTTTAAATTGACGGTAGTGATTATAATGATAGTGATGATGACGACCATGATGATAATAACAATAATGAAAGATACATAGTTAAAGATGTTCTTTTTACTAAAACAAAGTTGTTTGTTTACATTGACGACAGTGATTATGATGACAGTGATGATGATGACGATGAGGATGTTGACGACGATGATGGTAATTAATAGCAATAATGAAAAATACATTGTGAAAGTGTTCAGTTCTATTGACTGTTAGTTCATCAGTACGACTGAAGGAAGTAGTAGTGGCGACTGTACTCCAAGCCACATTTGTACTTGATGCTAAAAGTCTGCAGAATAATTGTTTACCATTAAAAGTAAGCTCATAACTTAAAAAAACTAATAATTACACTAACAGTAAGAAATATATAATTAAAAATTATAACATTAGATTAAGTTCATTAAAGATGTATTGTTCCATGCAAATACCCAAAAAAAAATCATTAAAAAAAACATTTTTGAAATTAACATGCACGTTTTAACATGCAAGTAATATAAAAATGATCAACTTGAACATGGAAATTACTGTAGCACATTTAAAAGAAATCTAGCCATAATTTTACAGCAAAAAATGATAGAAACACTTCCATTCACTGAATTATTTAATTATTTGTATTATCATTATCCAGTAATAAAATCAGGGTACACATTTTTGAAATTAAATTATTTCTATGCTCAAGTTAATAATTTTTATGTTTCTGTAAAATGAGCTAATGAATTTTAAGATTACTTTTTTAAATTTTTTTTTTAATTATCAGGGGACAATACATCTTTAATGTCAACATCACAATAATCATAACCCATTGAATGCTGCCAATGTACATGCCATTTAGTAGAAATAAATATTATTTAATATTATTAAATTGTCATAGTTTTTAGATTCAATTTGGTGGGGGAAAAACATATGAATGATGAGAGTGGCGCATGTAGGAAAGACGCGGAGGGCACTCTCCCGCCATCTCCTCCTTGAAAAAGTGTGTGCCAACACTCAAAACATTCTGAGCAAAAAATTGAACCCAAGTAGTTCAAATGTAGGCCTAATATTTATATTGACATTGCAGGAAGTGTATTTGTTAAAACACCGGGAAAAACAGTCCCATACACCTCTTTTCAAATAGCATATAGAGGAACCAACAGCTTAACATCCTACCTGACTGATGAGGTAATTAGAATACAGTGCCTGATACAGTGTCTTAGGCCAAATCAAAGATGATAGGCCTACTGATTAAGAAGATTATCATAATCACTATCATAATCAGAAATAATAATAATAATAATAATAATAATCATGAATTTATCATGATCATAATGACCATGATGATAATGATTTTATCATAATCACGTTTATACTCATCATGATCATCATGTTAATCACTATCAGGATGATCATCCATGTCATCATCATTTGTATCACCATCATAATCACCATAAGCATCATGTACTACTGCTTAACATCATCATAATTATCATCATCATAACTATCATCATCATAATCATCATCCTCCTCCACAATATCATCATAATCAACATATAAGTATTATTATTATTAATACTACTGAGCTTATCAACATAATGAAATTATTATAATTAATAATGATAATAATACTAATAATGATAGTCATTCTCATTATTATCCTCATCCTCCTCATCATCATCACTAGCAGAATAACCATAATACTCATTATCTTAAATTGACTACTTTGCATATTATAAATATTAGTCTGACATTATCGAAAACAAAATAATCCATTCAAAACACAATATAAATGGACCAGAAATATCAAACATCATAACCCACCACAGTTTGCATATATGATGTACACACCATGTACCTTCTTAACAATATCATACAG